CCATCAGAAGCCTGGCCGCAGCATTCTGCACTAGCTGCAGCTTCTGGATTTGCGACAGGGGCAGCCCCATGTAGAGAGCGTTACAGTACTCTAAACTCGATGTGACCATCGCATGGATTACCGTAGCCAGGTCATCACAGTCTAGGAAGGGAACCAACTGCCTGATCAGCTGAAGATGGTAAAAGGCCGACTTAGCAGTGGCTGCTACTTGGGCCTCCACAGTTAAGGAGGGATCCAGGAGCACTCCCAAACTCCTCACCTTTGGCACTGGCACCAATGGCACCCCAATGAAGGTCGGGAGAACAACCCCCATCCCCAGACCACCCCAGTTCAGATCTTCCGGGCTGCAGCCTGACCGGCCGCCCAACATCAGATAGAGCTGGGTGTCATCAGCGTATTGGTGACACCCCAGCCCATGCCTCTGGGCAATCTGGGCAAGGGGGCGCATATAGATGTTAAACAACATCGGGGAAAGCACAGCCCCCTGAGGCACACCTCTGTTCCCCTAGCATCACCCTTTGTCCCCAACCCTGGAGAAAGGAAGCAAACCATTGTAAGGCAAGTCCCTGTATCCCCGCGAGGCGATGGGTCCAGCACTGCCGAACCGCCTCGATCCAGATGCCTCCAGAGGTCGTCAGTAAGGGCGACCAGTGCTGTCTCCGTCCCGTATCCCGGGCGAAAGCCTGGCTGGAAGGGATCTAGAACAGAAGTGTCATCCAGAAAGCCCTGTAGCTGTATCGCCACCACCCACTCGATTAATTTGCCTAAATAAGGCAAATTGGAGACCAGCCGATAGTTGGCCAATTCGGACGGGTCTAAGGTTGTTTTTTTCAAGAGGGGGTGGACCATTGCTTCCTTGAGTGCCCCTGGGAACCTTCCTTCAATGAGGGACTTGTTGACAATCTCCCTTAGGGCACCTTGAAACCCCCTCGTGACCCATTTTAATGAGCCAGGATGGCACGGGTCAAGGCCGCATGTGGTTGGGCGTACAGACACGAACAGTCTGTCAACCCTAATAGGGCAATATGTACATTCTGCACATGCACTCAGGCTTTATTTCAGAAGCTATCCTTTCCCCAGGCCTTTCAAACTGCTCTTTAAATCTGTAGCAAAAGGGTTTTTTTAGGGAGGGTTTTTTTTTAGCATGACAGCTTTTCAGAAGTGAAAGCAACACAGTACTTACTGTACATAAAAATTGGGGCAGTTTCCTTCTTTAAAGTTTCTATAAACTAGAATAAGGATTTGATAGTACAGCCTTGCAGATAAGACAAGAACATTTTCCAGCCCACAGAAATGTTCAGCTGGCCAGATGTGTAACTGGGGATCTTAAGTGGTGGTTCTTTGCCTCAAGAGTAGGCAACAGCTGCACTAATCGCAAGGCTATAATCTCAATATGCAGCTCCTTAACTAATAACCTGTATCTATTCCTCCCCCACTCTTCCTTCTCTTGCTGTGGAAATGCCATTTCTAGAAACCTACTAAGTCCACTAACATATTAAAGGATAGTTTTGTCTAGTGCCAAAAGAAATCACCGGGATACTGTGAAGTGTCAGAAACCTGGGGTGCTGAAGAACTCTTTGGCTTCCACTTATTAAAACAAACCTGTGCAAATTCTAAGTATGACCACTTTACACAAATCAAGAGGGTTGCAAAATGAGAAAGGAGCAGATAGCGAGTTAGTATATCGACAGTAAATAGTCTGTGGGGGAAACTGGCAGAGCAGTTTCTGGATCCAACCTGAGGGTGAAGAGGGTTCATATTAAATATAACACTGTATGCTACACATAATTCATTGTGTGTTCCCAGTCTGAAATGTAAGTGAAGAGGGGACATAGACAGGATGTAATTCTATTTGGGTAGAAGAATCTGAGGGTAACACCTGAATGCGTGCAAAAAGTACAGAGGCCTAGAGAGGAGTGGCCTTCCCAGGTCAGCTCCTCATCACAGTCTGCTGTTCTCTTTAACTACTCAAAGCCTGCCCTGCTCCCTCAGAAAGTTCCATTAGGGAGGCTCCTTAGGAATCCAGGAAGCTTTCTGATTGGATGTCTGTGAGGCAGCTTTATCAAGTCTGATAAGAACCCCACATTTGTCAGGACATCAGAAAGTGCTCCGCTAATGCTGGACATTTTGACAGAGACTGCAGCTGTTGGGGCCAACTTCCCCATACCCGTTCTCCCCCTCAAGCATTTTGCATATTCACTGGTTTAAATAAGCTTGTATATCTATAATGCACACTGGTGGAAATCTGGATTTATCTAAAGATATTTTTTAAAAAATACATACTGGTAGACCAGTCATGCCAACTTCTCCTATCTCTCCCTTCTGTCCCATTGGCCCAGGGCTTCCTTGGTCTCCTTTTGACCCTTTAGGACCCTGAAATTTAAGCAAAAGAGATTCATAGGATGATACATTTTTAAGAAACAGTTTCCGCACTGCTTCCAGAGAGTATATTAGAGTTTGCTGATATAATAAACAGATGTAGCTTAGAATCAAAGATGGATTATAATTTTGTTGTTGTTCAGTCGCACAGTCGAGTCCGACTCTTTGCGACCCCATGGACCAGATCCCGTCAGGCCCTGCTGTCTTCCGCCGTCCTCTGAAGTTGGCTCAGTTTCATGTTCGTTGCATCTATGACACTGTCTAACCATCTCATAATAGATGAAGTGAATATGGCAATTTAATTTAAATCTGTCATGTATGAAATCTTCAACCACATTATTCTTGATATAATAAGAATTTTGATAGTCAGTGTGATTCTGATATGTAAACCCTTATCCTGCACACAACAATGATGTTAAATATTTATTATTAATTTATTGACTACAAAAATATACAAAATAGGGTGATCATGTGATACTGCCCCAGTGTTCTCTACTTGGGGTCAGAAACTTGCAACATACCAGTGAAAGGAGCCAGCACTGATGTAAAATGATTCAGTACTCCACAGCAGGAGTTGTCAAAAATCCTCTTCTATACACTGTCTCACCTACACATACGTAATTCTATGTAAGGATTAGGGTAAGTTTTTTTGGGGCCAAAAACTTTGGCACCCTGCTTATATTTTAATTGTAGAGAATATTTGGCTTTTGTGAATATTTTGCCTTATTTGCAGATTTCGAACTAAGTTCCTTATTTAGACCTAGATTCAAGTCCAGTAGCACCTTAGAGGCCAACAAAATTTTTGGGGTATAAGCTTCTGAGAGTCAAGAAAGCTTATACCATGGAAAACGTGGTCTCTAAGGGGCTACTAGATTTTAATTAGCTATTTTCCTGCAAACCAACACCTGAAACTATCCCCTTATTTATTCATTTATACACTGTCTTTCTGCCCAATAGTGACCCAAAGCTTCTTGATGTGTTACCTCAATTAGACACAGAGCTAATTTCAGTTTGCACAGAGTGCTACAGTCATGATGTGGACTAGAGTGAATCATAAGGACCATATCACTCCAGTTTTTGCTTATCTACACTGGCTCTCAATTTGTTTCTGAGCACAATTTAAATCCCTATATGCAGGGCTTGGTTCCTGCAGGAGGTCACCGGAGCAATGCTCCTGCAGTAAGGAGCCCAGGGGGCGGGCACATGCAGCAAGCCCTGCCCCTCAGAAAACCTTGGCGCTCAGCCCAAAGTCGAGGCTGGCGGGGAAGGAGAATCAGCCTCGCCAAAGGACAGGTGGCCGAAGGTGGGAGGGCCGCCACCACCAGGTCGCCTCCACCCCCTCACCCCACCCACTCCAAATCTGCCGGGAAGCCGCCATTCGCCTCGGCTGCCCCGTGTGCCCTGGCCTGCAGTCTGATCCTGTCCCCTTCCTCTTCCCGGTCTCCCATGGCTGCCCTTGCGCCATGGGGAGGGGGAGAGAGAATGCCTGTCCCGAGGCCTGCAGCCACGGGGCCTTCCCAGCTCCCAAGTGGCCAGCAGTTGATCGGGGTGCAGCCAGGTCGGGAGGAGCTTCGCGGTCACCCGAGCAGCTTCAGCGCAGTCAAGGAGGTGCTTTCCTGCAGAGAGTGGAGACTGGGACAGGCGGGAGGGCTCGTCGGGGCACTCCAAGGCAGCGGGAGGCAAGCAGCAGCTGGGAGGTAAGCCCGGCATCTGGACTGCCCTATGGCCCCTGGGATGGCCGCTCTGCGGAGTCTCTCGCCTGAACCCAAAGAGACTGGAATCACACCGCTCAGCTGGCTCTGAAGCGCCCTCCTCTCCCCCCAACTGTGCTGGGTCCTTCCGTCCTTCCTTCATTCCTTTCTCTCTCTCTCTCTCTCTCTCCCTCTCTCTCCCTCCTTTCTTTTTTTCCCCTCTCTCTTTCTCCCTCCCTCCCTCCCTCCCTTCCATCTCTCTCTCCCTCTTTTCCAATCCAAAAGAGTCCAGTGGTGGGATATACTAAAAGGAAGGACAGGATTGCCCATCGGAAACAATGGGAGAGACTTGAAGGTCCATTTGAAGTAATGGGAGCCAGGAAT